ACTTGAAACATCTCCCCACGCCACCCAAAACCACCCCCAACGCTAAACCAAAATCCCACCCACCCAGCGCCGACCATCATCTGCCTACCTTAGCCGCCCCAAGAACCACCGCCACCGCTCAATTGAACACATTAAATTAGCTGAAAGATTCGAATAAATCGAAATGACTTTTCGGTATTAAACCCACATTTTCACCATATTCCAATGATTTTTCGACTGGTTATTCTCATTAACTTGCCGAATCATAACCAAATTTCGGTCCAACACTAGTTGTACTTTTTGGAAATTTTCAATGAAGGCGGTAGAAGAGGCAATCAAATTGGTTAAAGTCTAATATGTATGAAGAATGTGGGAATAAAAACTGCTCAATTGGAATCTCCAGACCAAAAAAAAACAAAAAACAAAAGAATATAACATCCCACCTGCTATAATCTTTTTAAGGGATTGTGATGGGGTGGATGATGGTGGTAGGATTGTGAATATTTGAAAAAAGCAAGCGCAATTTTCGAATGGTGTTTTAATCGAAGGAGGGTTTGCTGAATTAAGGAAGGGATGAGGGATATTTTGTTGAGTTGAAGGGATGACTCCATGTGGTGAAAAGTGTTGTGGTGGTGGATTAAGATTTGGAAGAGCGAGTCTGCATCCGGTGAGGGTTCAATTGGTAGGAGTGTGGGCTTTGTAATGGTGATTGGGAATTGGGTTCCTTGATCTTGAGTTTCCATTTGTTTGAAGTCCGACATTGTGGAGAAGATTTTCAATCGGGAAGTAGAGAATTCGATGCAGTTCACATTGAGCGGTAGCAGGTGGTTGTGAAGGTGGAGGTGGTCCGGTGGATTTTTTGTTGGAGTCGGAGGTGGGTTGGAGAAGAAGAAGACCATTTTACTTTTTGATTTTTGATTTTAATGCAAAATTATCATTTTGCCCCTCTAAAAATTGTTAAAATTTGGTCAAAATAATTTTTTTGGTCAACTGACGGAATTTTGGATGAAAACTGTAAAAATGAGTCTCACATGCAACGTTTGAAAATGTTAGGGGTGATAGCTGCAACAAATCAAAGATTTGGAGAAGGTCTGCAATGTTTCAAAGATTTGGGACTTCTGCTGTAATTTTCCCTATATATATATATATATATATATTATTATTATTATTATTATTATTATTATTATTATTTTTCGAAAACAAGCCGAATTTAGCTCTGACCAGATTTTGGTTTTCATGATTTACACTCCAATATCACACCTAAAACCCTATTTTCTTTATCCTTTCTTTTTTAAACCATAAAACCCTGTTTCTACTGGGATCGATCAGTGATCCAATTCTTTCAATTCACTTTCTTCAATTCACCTTTCTTTTCTTTATCTTCTTGTTATTGAAATTACATTCAGCTGTTCCAGTGGGGTAATAATGACTTCAAGCAATTCGCCACCAACAGCAATCGACAAGGAACAGGTGCTTCATTTTTATTATGTATAAACACATTTACAAAAGCTGATATTAGGTGATTATATTTTGGGTTAAAACAAGTCTTAAATGAGCGTAATCTGATTATAATGTTGTGATTTGTAAACAGATTATTGGTATGGCAGAAAAGGAGATGGAATACAGAGTTGAATTGTTTAACAAGTAAGGTTATCAAGTGGTATATTGTTAAAAGTGAATATTTATTTCTTTGCATTTTTGGCTTGCGATTTTGATACTTGAAACAGAAATCTCAAGTTAGAAATTGTTGATCGTAAAAAAAAAAGAAAAAAAAAAACACTGTTTTTTTGTATTGATGATCGTGAATTTGTAAAAAATCGCTAGACACAGATTTGTGATTTTTGGTTTTGAACTTTTGGTATAATAGTTTGAAACTAGAAACTGGAAATAAGCTATAAACGCCAATTAGAAACTCTCTTCAAACAATCTTGAAGCAAGTCTATTATAATTCTATACATGTTCTACAATTTTTGGTTAATAATCAAACCTAAATACCTAAAACAATGCCCTTTTGATTTCTTCTTTGTCTCACCAACTAAAAGTATGTAATCAGCAAATTAATAAAGTGGGAGGGAAATCCTCTTGATTGCAGCTTTCTCCAAACCTCTGGGAAAAGCATGAAAAAAAAGGGATCGAATGGTACGATCCCTCCGTCAACCCAAAATGAAAGTGGAGATCTCTTAGTTCTTGGTCTATGAAGATGCGTTGTTAGGTGCTCCATTTTCTTTTCCCATTGAGGCCGAAGAACAAACCACCGACACTTGCACACAAAAAACCAGCCAAGGAAACCAACACAAGTAAACATGTGTTAGAACTAATAAGGTGGCAAAATGGAAGGTCATGAATAGTTCAAAGTTGGCTGTATTTTGTGGACCACCATCAACCAGCTCTTGAACGCATAGAGGGGTTAATAAAGGCTTAATTCTGCTACTTAACTGTCAACATTCACTTGCACAGCTCCATGCATATAATTAATAAGGTTCTAAGAAAACCTGGAAGAGCTGATGACTTCAATAGTGACCCTATGAAATACCAATACACAACATAGCAAGATTTGTGTCCTCTGCCGAATATAAGAAAAACCAGTGTCATGCTCCCTGTGACTCATGCTAAGATCTGAACAATCTGCCAAGCAAGAAAATATGTTGGCGTGGATTTTTTGAAAGCTCTAGGGAAAGGGATGAAACCTATAATCTGGAGACTTGGGCCAACTATTGTGTGAAAAGTGAAAGGATTATGCATTGTGACTAAGACGGGCATGGAACTGTAAAGGTAACCACAAAGAAAAGCAAGAGAGAGAAACTCTTTGGCAAGTAAACTGCGATAAAAGGAAACGCTGATCAAATGCTGACAAAGAGAGTTCATTTCTCTATCCAGAATACAGACAGAGTTTTCTCTTTAGCACCTGCATCCCTAGGTCTAGCAGAATGGTTGTATGAATTTTTTCTTCCATTCTCATCTCCGCCTTTATTTCTTCTCTTAAACTCAAATTTGATTTTGCCTTTCCTCATTGCGTCCCTCTTTATACCTTCTCTTGCACTAATGTCCTTTAGTTACACTCCAACCAAACCAGCCAATAATGATGAATTCTTTCTGCAATCTGAGGAGAATCCTGGTACATGAACTTTTCTTCTCTTGGCTGCAGGATGAAGTGAAACCCGGAAGGTTTATGAGGTGAACTAAGTTCTTGTCGGACTTGGGCCTTACTGAATTGCTACTGAGGAATTACCTGTTAGGCCTTTCTGAATTATGAAAAGGAACTTTTTATCACTGAATTACTACTAGGATTCCCAGGAAGCTTTTTCAGGCCTTTGACAACTTATTAAGACTTTATTCCCCTTTCATGGCTCCTCTAGTTGGCAATATTAAAAAAGTGGTAAATCCTGAATTGGTTTCTCATCACCCTCCAAATTAAAGTTCTTTTAGCTCTGCTCCTACCTTCGATTAGTTGAGTAGTAGCTCTGATACGAATTTGATAGGATCCCCAACTGCTGCTACTACTCAACTGGAGAAATTCCCTGGCCGCTGCTACTGTTCTGATGAATCTGTGAAAAATGAACTTCAAGGAATGGCTGGTTGCTGCTGCTGTATTGCTTTGATTTGGTTGCTGATGCTGATACCCTGGCTGCTGTTGGTGATAGTGTTTTTCAAGCTGCTAGAGCAACTGAGTTTGATTACACTGTAGACAGTAGGATTTGAATGATATAGTGGTAGGAATTGCTGTATTAAATCTATGGATTTGATTGGAAAGCTGAATGTATAACAATTATCTGTTATTCGATGACAAGACAAATTGAAGGACAATTCCAAGGCGCTTGAGAGGCTTGGATCTCTCCCCTTGACTCAACAAACTACTCAATGAATGAATATCACAAATCTTGCCTTATTACATTTATAGGCATTCTATTATATTTCTACGACCCTTTTACCCTTCCCCCAACAAACTAAGTGGAACGCTCTAGAGTAGTTGATGACTTGGCTGTCTCAATATTGATTGTATCCTTGCAACTTAATTGGATATCTGTCACATGGCTTCTCTAGGTGGCAGTATTAAAGTTGTGGTAAATCCTGAATTGGTTTCCTACAACCCTCCACATTAAAGTTCTTTTAGCTCTGCTCCTACCTTCAATTAGTTTAAGGCCCTGTTTGGTTAGATTTTTTTGAGATTAGATTTTGTGAAAAGTGATTTTTTGGAGAATGTGGGATTAAAAAGTAGAAAAAGTTTTGGGTTTACTTATTATATTGGAAGAATGTGTATTTGAAAATGAGTTTTAGAAAATGGGGGTGAAACAAGGCCTAATTCTAAGATATGAATTTACAGGGAATGTGGATGATCTTCAGTTATCATGGTCAAGATCCACTTATGCTAGAAGATTTTGTCTTTTTCCGTAACCATATGAACTTTTGAAATTCCGAAATTTATTTACTCCTTAGTTAGGAGATCATATCTTTCGGTAGTTAGTAGGAAGATCTTCCATTTACCCTGCTTATTGGAGAAGATCTAAATCCTACATTAAATATCCTTGTGTTATCTGAGCACTTCCAATAAATTTACTAAATCAATAAAAACAAGTATTTTTGTGCGTCAATGAGTAAAAACTTTAAGGCTAGTAACCAATATTACACTTTTTCTTAAAGACTATGGTTCATCCCGAAGGTATCACTTTGCATTTCTGTTTGGTTTTACCTACATAATGGGGAATAAATTGATGATGGGCCTACAAAAATGAGATAATTATATCTTAAACACAATTTGGACGTTTAGTGCCCATACCTACACCTGTTTGTGCGTTGAGCCTATACAATTTACAGTTACTTATGAAGTTAGCATCGTGTTTTTCATTACCAATTTGCCATGTGGTTTTGCATGTTTATACGTTCACTTAATTATATTAAAGACGGGCCTGAAATATTGAGCTTTTATACCATCAATATACATTGTCCTAGTCAGCATTCGATCGCCTGAATTTAACATGTCATCTATCATATTTCAGGCTTACCCACACATGTTTCAACAAGTGTGTTGAGAAAAGGTATTACTTCTTATCCCTCTTATCTGAAGTTCCCTGATCAAGTGAACAACAAAATGCCGTGGACATTTTTCTAAGTGACTGTTTCTTTCATCCATGACATGATATTTACCGGTGCCTTGTTGGAACATTTGATCTGTTCTGGCTTTTTATTTTCCAAAAGGTACAAGGATTCTGAACTAAATATAGGTGAAAATAGCTGCATTGATCGCTGTGTTTCAAAATATTGGCAGGTAAAGGATTTCCAATTTCATTTGATTTTAAGTAAACTTTCCACTTTCGACTCCCGAACCAACAGAAATGCTTTTGTATATCACTCCTTGTACGTGTATCATTTTATGTATTCGCCCCTTTTATTTACTCGGTAAGAATTAGAGTTCCAGAAATATTTCTTGAGTTGCTGGTTGCCCTTCTCGTAACAACCCTTAGCTCCACCCATCAATAGGAAATACGAAGAGAGCCATAGGAGGGGAGGCATCTACTATTTGACTTACATTTTACGATTTATTCCTTCTATTTTTTCAGGTGACGAATCTTATTGGGCAGCTGCTCGGTGCTGGTCGGCCTCCAATGTGAGTGAAGAATGGTGTCCTTGTGAGATCATTTTGATTCATTGCAGACTCTTTAGGTTATTATTTTGTTGACAATTCTGAATTGATAAAATTTTGGCCCTTAAAAATAGAGTTTCTGAAATTTGTTCTCACTTCCAAAACATCTCAAGTGGCTTTTCTGGTTTAATCATTCGATGCTATTATATAATATAACCTTTGATATAGCACATTTAGTATTGAGAATTAGAACATCAAACATCGAAAGAATGTCATCAATAATATTAGCTGTACTTTTATAGCAGAAGATAACTAGAAATATTGTTTCCCACCCACAATTAAGGTGATTTTTGTTGACATCAAAAATTGTAAAGACTATTCTTGAGTCAACTTTAAGGAAAAGGACCCTTTTGCATTGATCATGGAAAGCTAAGTTGTATAGCGTACAGGGTTAGGGAAGCCTCATTCTCTTTCTTTTTTTTTTCTTTCTCCAGCCTCATTTTCTTTTTCTTTTTTCTTTCTCCTGAAAAGGGAACATTTCTTACTATTTATAGGAGGCCTTTAGCCGAAATTGTGTCATGTCAATCAAATCAGTTATAGCGTCGAGCTCGTACGACGCGCAGCCGATCCCTCCTTTAATTGGTTGGTGAGGCTAGTTGTCATCATATCAATGTTCCCTTCAAGTAATGATGATTTGACAAGGATAAGAGAATCAAGGTGGTTGATAGGCGGGTTGGGGTGGTGCTGACGTCATCTCTCACAAGTGTATGCAATTGATAGGGTGATGTGACAGGATGTAAGGAATCCGTAATTATGTTATCTACCGTGATGACGACGGTAGAATCCGAGCTGGCCTGGTGTAACTGAACTGAAAAGCTGATGTGGCATTCAGAAAGAGCATTTGGATGAGATCGGAGATTTGGTACAACAATTTAATGGCACTGGATTATCAATAAGGAAAGACAAGTTAAAATTAAGTTCATTATATTGTCTCGTCCAGTTTATACAATACCAGATATATCTCGAATGAATAGAGACGGGTAGATATATTGATGAATTTTAACGTCAAAATGATGGGAAGAAAAACTATAATTGTTCATTATTCCATTTTACACTTAAAGAAGAAGCATCTTTAAGTGTTTCCTGGGCAACTTTATTCATTTCAAGGCTAAAAAGGGCAGCTGCTTGAAGGTAGAAAGCAGTGGGCCAATCAGGAGACTGTGCTTGTGCACTCACAGCATCTGCAAGAGCTTCTTGTGATTTGCTATCCATCAAGTAACATAGGCGGCGCCAGGCAAACACTGTTGGGGATAGCATGGTTGCACCATAGATAAACCGCCCAAGTAATTGAAACTTTGACACCCAAGTTTAAAGTACTACGAATGGAAAAATTTTGAAAAAATATTGTATGGGGCAAGGCTAGGCCACCTCAAAATTAGGTGACACATCTCAGTTTACACCTCTACCCAGATTTTGAGTTCCTAAGGTCATTTGATTTTTTCTGTAAGGGATCCTAAATACTTCACCTGGATAATACTGCTGAATTCTACATAACCAATTAGTCGATAAAATGTGCAAGAGCTCAACCAAGACATGCCTGAAAATGGCAGGGGCATAAAACTTTCGATATTTTTTTGTCATAAAAGATCATTTACGAGCTTTAAGTCTCGAACGAAAACTTCTGCTAATGATATGAACGTAACTAGAAAAATAATTAGCGAAGCATTTCAGTTTCATCGTCTGTTTTGACCTTATGTCCCTTGTCAATGCAACATTACTTTACCAACAGAAATTTTAATGCCTTGAAAGAATAGAAATAATGAACAAGTTTTCAATAATCACACTTTGCCATTGGTTCTGCTGATACCATTGGATGACTTACCTATGTGTAACAAGCTATTGCAGTAGTGAAGTCTTTAGCACGAAATGCAATATCTCCACACTTCCTACAATTCAAGATTTCCTGAATTTGTTCTGTCCAAATATGAAAAAAAGCTGAAAAAGCAAAATGATTTTGACATGAGAATGTAGATTGGAAATTTTTCTTTGAAAATCAGGTGATAATGCGTTGCTGCTACAATCCAAAGGTGTATCTCAGTAGTCAGGCTTTGGGTTTGCTTATCAAAGGTCACTAGTTCGAGTTCCCTCAAAGCCACTGAGGTGAATAATTGGCTGTAAACTTCAGGGCCCCGTAGAATTAGTCGAAGTGCGCATAAACTGATCCGGACACCTACAATCATAAACAAAAATTAAAAATTAAAAATTAAAAAAAAAGGAAGAAAAAGGATAATGACTTGCTGCTACAGATGAAACTAATCAAGAGTCCTGCATTATTCAATTAAGTTTTGTCTTCTAATAATGAATTTGTAATATTTTCCATGCAGTTTTTTTCTTTTCCTTGCTTTACAGGCCAAATTGGTAGAGTGAATTACCATTTTCCAAGGGATTGGATCTTGTGCATCTCTGTACGACATTAACCAAGAGTTTGAAAACATCTCTGTAACTTTCTTCCACCTCTTTAATGAAAGAAGTATTCAAGATGAATAAGTAACTTCCACCTCCATTGAAAGAAGAATAATTCAAAATGGTTAACTCTTTCAAGGGGCCCTCCTTTTTAGCTTAGTTGAGTAAGAATGCTACGCTGTGAGGCTCATTGAGAGCGCTTCGGCTTGGCTTGTATTGATAATGTAGCTAAACTCCTGGAAGTGAGTGAGCCATGGGTAGGGTGCACGAACGATATGTAAAAATCACGTGGAAAAAAAAAATTAAGAGAATGAGGTGGCTACCCTATAAAAATTGCCTTGACACTCTAAATATTAAAATGACAAATAGTATAATAGTTTTAGAATGAGGTGGTTACCCTACATAAATTACTTTGTCACTCTAAATACTAAAATGACAAATGACATAATATGTTTGGAATAAAAGGGGGCATAGATTACCCACATACGAGTTGTAAGACAATAAAAGTGCTTTCTTTATCAAGTTACTTGACTTTGATTTTCAAATTATTGTATGTTTTTTATTTTCTTTCCACCCCTATTTATAATAGTAATTGAGAATTAAATTAATAATTAATTTATTCAACAATCTGTTCAATTCTAATTTCTGAAACCAATTCACAGACCATAGTATCCACATTTTAGAATTATCCCGGGTTTGGCTTCACAGTATCCTGTATCCACCGACTCAAGCAGTGCCGTCCATCTAGGTTCTGAATCCGATTTCTTCAACGATGTTTCGCTGTTGCTGCTGAATTGAGGGAGATTGTGGGTTTTTAAACAAATAAATAAATAAAAAATTGGGCCCTTTGAATAGTTGGGCCTCAGGCGACGGCCTCTTGGGCCTCTCCTCAGGTCCAGCTATGGTCATGGGAAGCAGAAGAGGCGTCGGATTCAACGTTAGAATGCCGGCAACATAAGTCCAAAATGGTGCAACGAGCTCCCATTTCATAAAACGAAAATAATCGAAGAATAAGAACTTGAAGTAATAGAAACAGGTTCTGATGACATTAACGTGGGCGGGGTGGATATTTTTGGGGAGATTTTTCTATTTGGCATGTAACTATTTATTTTTATGGAAATGTCTATATTACCCTTAATGAAATAATTCTTTTTATATTGCAACATATGTCCTAATCTTTTAAATATTTTATCTTCTGTTTACTCTATTTTGGATGTTTGAATATAAAATCATTCTATGATCTAATAAGTAAGAATAATCTGCAACATATAATCATATTTTCTTAATAAAATACAAATGGTAAATTTGTATTTTTTAATTGAGATATAATATTCTTTATTTCTTCTAACATTATTTCTAATAAATTATCTAATCCTTCAACTGTGTATCCTGATATTTATCAAAATAATCATCATGCAATTGTCCCTGCAATTCTTTTAAGATCTTAAAAAAGATTCATTCTAATTTTAGCAAAAGTTTAATAGTTTTATCTTAGATTTGATCTAGACTTATATTTTTAGAATCGAGTGACCTTCGAGCTCTGAATTTGTAAATTGCTTCCTTCAACGGCCTTCTGTCTTCACGAAATTGTTACTATTTCAGCTACTTGCTCTCACTGTATCAACTTCTAAAGAATAAAATTCTAGACTTCTGTTAAATAAAACTCTCTTTTTGCTAAAATAAGAAGGAAACTTTCTATTAGATCTTTCAAGAATCTATGGGAAAAAGATTTAGAAACTCATACTGATATCAAAATATTGGAATTTTATTTCTATTAGGATTGATACAAGACTTATATTTGGGACAAAGGGATTTCCAGAAAAACTGGTTTTTTAAACTGAGAATAGGCTATTGCTTACAACTCGAGAATTCAAGATAGGATGAGATGATCTTCTTCTATGGTAATGTCTCTATTTATACAAGTTTTTGAGACTCTATTATATCATTGAATACATCAGCAAGGCACACTTGCCTTTCTATTTTCATCTTTGGGCCTACATCTTCACATGTTGGTTCAACTTTTCTATCCAAAGAGCATCTTTTTCTATTATTGCTCTTTATCTTCAATGTCTTCACATGTAGTATTATTGTCCTTCATACACCTTTGTCAAAATGTGCTTTGTCTTCTTCTTTTATTTCTTCACATGCAGTTGGGACATTCCTTTAGTTGACAGGATGCTTTTATAGTGGTAGGACATTTTGGAAATTGATGTATATCAAATCTTGTAATATAGTCTTTTAAAATTTCTAATTTTGCATATCCTTCATTCGATACCAACATCCAATTTTCATATTGGCACAGGCACGAGAATTTTTTATCAAACAAATTTTTGGCATTGTTGTAGATGGCTTTAATTCCAAGTGCTCTTCTATGTCTGATCCATGATTTTGTCACTGTTCGGACTTTTCTATTATTTTCTGTAACATCAATTTGAAAATTGGCTGCAACATATCCAATTGAGATTATGTGGTCAACTGGATAGTAAACAACTCTATCATATTCTAGACTAATTGAATATAATTTTAAAAATATCTTCCTTCCCTTGGCAAATATGGATAATTCCTTAATGAATATGTCATCAAACTTTGAAATTTCAATAAAATCTTTTCCTGGATAAATCAAATCCATGAATCCATAGTCTGTCATGATTTTTATAAATGAAAGGTCATCTCCTTCCATTACTGTTATTCT